GGATATACTTCTCTCGCAACAACCAATTAACAATTGAGTGGTTGATTAAATTCTTGATTTTATGAGTGCAAGGGAATACAAGCCCAATTAGGTAAATGATTAGTACTTTGGAGTAGGGTTTTGTCCCTTCAACTTAATTTGATTCAAAAAATGTATAATAAAATATTTAATATAATAATTAAAGTCCAACTTGGTTTGGACATTTTTATCAATGGGAAATTGTGTTTATAAATCAGCATAGCTTTTCATATATTTTCCAAAAAAAATTAACCACAAACAAGTTAATAGTTTGATACACTTTGTTAAGCTGATTAATAAATTTTAAAAAAATATTGGTAGATTTTTATGAAGTAAATGAGATGTACTAGCGAAAATAAATGAGCTTCTATTGAGAGGAAAGAAATTAATTTGATTGATTCTATATGAAATTATGTCATCATAATTCGTTTAGCTTCTATGGAAACTTAATTAAAATGTGAATAAGTTTTCACGTTTAAGTGTTTAACTACTATTACAAAGTTTCTTGCAGTCCAGTAAAAGCCATCATCTACAAAACCTTGAGATTTATTACCATATAGCAACAGTTAGCATGTTTATTGCTTTCAATAAGCAGTTGTTAAAAGTAGCCCAAACTTTTACAGTTCTTAATATTCACAGGAAAAGAAAGAAGTCTGTATACATAACATTGATTGGTGTTTAATCTAGGGCTGGGTCCGAAAAATCGAAAACCGAAAACCGAATCAAATTAAATCGAACCATGATCAAATAAAACCGAACCGCTAAAAACCGAAACCGAATGTAAAAAAACGAACCGAACCGTAGTAATTTGGTTCGGTTTTGGTTTTTATCCTTCAAAACCGAACCGAACAAACCGAACATAAATAAAATATGAAATTTTATTTGTTAAATGTAAGCATTAATCTTAATATCATCATTAATCTTTGAATTTCTTGTGCTAGAGAAATAATGTTTATGCTAGGTATGGACCCGGGCTGGGCCCGGGCGGGCTTTTTTTGTTGAATGATGGGCCCGGAACCGGCCCGGGGTGATACCGGGTCCGGTCCAGGTCGGGCCTACCCGGCCGGGTTGTGGGCCGGTTCGGGCCGGGCCGGGCCTGGGCTATTTTTTTTTAAATTCAGATTAGTTGGGCATAAAAATTTAAACTGTATTAATTTGAAATATGTAATACAATTGGAAATTGAGCAAAAATTACAACATGAAATACACTTTTTAATGAATAAGAATCAATCAGAATTTCCACCATCTTCAGTTGTTTCTTCCATAAAGTGGCGGGTAGGTTCAATGCTAATTTCTTGAGTTCTACGTTTGGCCTTCAACCAATCGTGGAAGCAAACAAGCGTCTCAAGAGAGTTTGCGCTCAATCTCGTCTTATAATCCGTTAGGATGTTGCCGGCCGCACTAAACTCTTGTTCCACAGCAACTGTTGATACGGGCATTGCTAGCACTTGCTTAGCCATCTTTGATAAGATCGGGAACGTTCTCTCTTTTTCCTTCCACCACTGAATAACGTCAAAGTCATCCCCTTCTTCATACTCAACAGGAAATGTTAGATACAAAGAAAGCTCGTTGATCGAGCTTTGTTCATTAATCGGAGTCGATTTACTTTTTTCCATAAGATTGCCAAATGCAGATTTCAAAATTGATTTTCCTTTAGATTGAAGAAGATGTTCGTGGCGGGGGAGGGGGTGCGTTACCATATTGTGCATGAAATTCATTAAATAATTGATATAATAAATTACTAACCTCTTGAAATTGTTGTTTCGGGTCTATAGCTTTGTCGTCGTACATAGACAATGGCCCAAAAAAAAAGCATAATAGTAATCTAAACATTGCTCCAAAGCAGCAAGTCTAAAACGAGGATCAAGAATAAATGCAATACTATATATATATGCGGAATATAGGAAAAATATTTTAAAAACTTTTGTTTCATGAAGTCACAAAAATAACTAACGTAAGCGACATCAGCAGATTCACAAAAAGCGCCGGCGAGATTAACAACTTCAACAAAAAATTGGTTTGCGGTAAGTTTATAAACATGACTAAAAGTTAGAGTTGCATTATTAAAATACACCAAAACATTCAAAACTTTTTCACAAGTGTCGATGTCGGCCGGGTTTATAATATAGTTAGCATATTCTTTTTAAAAAGCAGGAAAATGGTTTTTAAATCTAATAAGCACCTTAATTAAGTTATAAGTATTATTCCAACGAATAGACAAATCTTTAGGAAAAGCACAATATTTGACACGTCTTTCTTTCAAAAAAAATCTCCATTGCATCTTAAGTTGAGAACTAGCCCAAATACGTTTAATTCCTCCCTTCACCACCTCCATAGCATCTCCCAACACCGCTAGGCCGTCCTTTACACATAAATTTAAAATATGACATGCACAACGCTGATGAAAAAAACTACTCATCAAAGAAGATGAACCACACAATTCACGCAATCTAGGAATAGCAGCAGTATTATTAGTAGCATTATCAAAACCAATTGCAAACACCTTATTAATCAAATTATACTCAATTAAAATACGCTGAATGAGAATATAAATATTATCACCAGTGTGTCTATCATTAAATTCACGAAAAGCAAGAACACGTTTATGCATACACCAATCATCATCAATATAATGTGCAGTCAAACCCAAATAATATAAATGATGATGAGTATCCTCTCATATATCACTACATATACTAACACGTCCATCAAAGTTTGCAAAAACGTTTGTAATTTTTGCTTTTCCAAAACATATTGCCTTATAACTTCTTTTTTAATTATTTTGCGACTATAGTTTCGAAATTGGGGATTTAAAGAACCTTGAGCATATTCTTTTAAAGCAAGACTTTCCGAAAAAATAAAAGGCAAATTTTTTTCAACAATTAAATGAGACATACCAGTCAAATGTCTTTGATCATCATAGGAGAAATTACCAAAGGGTTGTCCAGTTGCAAACCTTGAAATTTGGGTTTGCCTTCCTTTGCCTTTGTCCGATTTCACATATTCCGCCGGGTGCTTGGCCTTAAGATGCCTTGTGGCGCTCCCGTACCCTCTAGAAATTCTCAAGTTATACTTTTTGTTGCAATGCTTGCAAGTGGCGTACCATATCTCGATTTCGAGGTCTTTAACTTTTGTAAAATTTGCCTTAAAGACAGATTCAGATTTCCCACCGGCTTGGGAAGAAGTAGCCACTTCCGCTTCCTCTTCCTCATCATCCGATGTGCCATGATCCTCGTCCTCGACCGCATCATCATCCTCAAGCTCTTCTTCGTCAATGGTTTGCGGGATGTCTTGTTGATGAAAAAAACATCCTTGATTTTGTTGCAAAAGTTGTTCTAGTTGGTCATCGGACATCGCATCCCCATATCTTTGGTTGTAATCCGCATCAAAATCATCTCGGGTTTGAGATGAAGACTCCGGCCCTCCCTTACCTTTGCGTGACCTTAGAACATTCCTCGCAATCTCATTTGTTCGGTTGCGGCCGAGGTTACCCATATCTACAGAAGCTCTAGCACGCTCCATATTAAAAATATAACAAATATTAAATTCAAATAACAATTAAGCAATTAATTTTGAATTAACTAGTTTACCAATTAACTAGTTTTTATAGGAAAGTTAATAAATGTAACAATTAACTACTATAATAAGAGATTAATAAATGTAACAAACTAACAATTAACTAGTTTTTATATGAGATTAATAAATGCAAAAATTAACTAGTTTAAGAATTAAATAATTAATTTCGAATTAACAACTAACTACTATGATAAGAGATTAATAAATGTAACAATTAACTACTATGATAAGAGATTAATAAATGTAACAAACTAACAATTAACTAGTTTTTATAGGAGATTAATAAATGCAACAATTAACTAGTTTAAGAATTAAATAATTAATTTCGAATTAACAACTAACTACTATGATAAGAGATTAATAAATGTAACAATTAACTACTATGATAAGAGATTAATAAATGTAACAAACTAACAATTAACTAGTTTTTATAGGAGTTTATATATATATATATATATATATATATATATATATATATATATATATATATATATATATATATATATATATATATATATATATATATATATAAGTAGATAATAAGTAGATTAACTAGTAATATATAATATTATGTTTATAGTATATATAATATAAGTATATTACTATAAGATTAGTAATACACTTATATATAATACTTTAATATATATAAGTATATATTAAGTATATCTAAAATGTAAATATAAGTAAATAAATTAGAGATGATTATATATCAATATATGTAAATATAATATAATATATGTAGTTATAAATTTGAGAAGATGAAGATGGAGAAGATTAGTAGAGAATAGAGATTAGAGAGTAGGAATATTTGGAGAAAATGTGTAGTAAATTGTATAGAAAAAGTGGAGTATTTATAGTTTTTTTGTACCCCTACCCCCCCACCCCCCCTAACCCACCCCTGGACCCAGGAAGGCTCCCAACGGCTATATAGCCGTTTGGGTTCGATCACAACAGCTCTAAGGGCCTGTTTGGTAGCCAAAAGGGAAAAAAAATTAAAAATATAGCCGTTGGCCCGAACCGGGCCCGAACCGGCCGGGCCTTCCTTTTTGTGAACCGTGCCCGAACCGCTAGCCTCCCCCGGGCCGGGTAAAAGTCCGCACCGCCCATTCCGTAACCGGGCCGGGCCCGCACATTGGCAGGCCGACCCGGTTTGGTCCATCCCTAGTTTATGCTATGTTTAGTTTAGTTTATAAATGCATTTACACATTCATTGCCCATAATAATGTAGTTATATTGATCTATTATGTCTTTTATGTATGTATGTTACAATTTGTTGCATGATTATATGTTTTTACTAGTTATTAGTAGTAATTAACTTTTATTTTTATGTAACTTAATTCTTTTTTGTAACTTAACTTTTTTATATTGATAAAACAAATAAATATTCATCTCGGCTAAATCACACAGGACATATGTATTCATAAACGTTTTTCAAACTAGTCACAAACATTGTAAATTAAGAATAGATACACACTTGTATCTCTCCTGCATACTCATATAATTCAAGACATACTTGTTTATTTTTATTTTCTTCATTTGTTCAATTATGCTTGCATTTTTATGTAATATGTTTGATCCCTCCAACTTTTATATCGATTTTAAATTAAATGACAAATATTGAGTAAAAAACCGAAAAAATCGAAACCGAACCGAAATAAATCGAACCAATCAAACCGTGGTTTGAAGTTTTGGAGTGTAAAACCGAACCGAAACCGAACCGAATTTTTAATTTGGTTCCATATTTGGTTTTAGGTCAAAACCGAACCGAAAAACCGAACCGAAAGAACCGAACCGAAAGAACCGAACCGAAAGAACCGAACCGAAAGAACCGAACCCACCCCTAGTTTAATCTTCAAGTGGTTCTTTTCATGGGGACTCTCTGCTGAGTCTACTTGCAAGAAGCCTGTTTTACTGCTTGAACCAGTCAGTGAAACCACACATAGTTTTCAGAATCTTCACACTTGCAGAGAGCAGGTTGTTTTATTTATCTGCAGAACTTCTTGAACCACACTCCAATATTTAGAAAGCTTTCAAAATCAGACTGTGGTCTGCAAAACAGTTCCAAAGATAAACTTTAAAAACAAGTCTAATACGGAGTATCAATTAGCACCAACGCCACCAAGGCAAGAATCATCCTCTTTTTGTTCCCAAACTTTCACTTTTCCACTTTTGGTGCATGGCCATGAATTTCTTGTCATTTATTTGTCCTTTTGGTCACTTAGTCAACCGGTAAATAATTAGTCAAGACCAAAAGTGACAAGGAACCCATAACCAAGATTTTTGGGAGGCCTTGTGCTAACTTTAAAGTTATGTCTTATATATTAGAAATAGTATTCACAGCTTTAATTTAGCAATATTTTTCGAATATTACCATATCATGTTCATTTTATTAAAAAAAAAACATTAAAGCGGTCTATTATTTGACTAAAGAGCTTTTATAAACTATATAGACTATTTTAAAAGTTTTAGGTCATCTGTATTTAGGGTCCAATGCCATAGCACTTCTTGCAAGCCTTATTACACATCTCTGTATCCATAACCGTGCACCAAATGTGAACAAATGAATAAAAGTCAGTCAGCAATAGTGGGAATGAGAATTGAACCAATAGACATGGGACTGAGCAAGAACTAAAATATCCTAAGCCCATAGGGTCACTTACCTTTCAATCCCATGTGAATCTTCTGGGAACATGATCACCTTCACCTTGACTCCTTGCTCAGTCAACGCATGTGCATACTGCATCAATAGAGGGGGGCACACTTTGGCTTCATACATTGATGATATATTTGATCACATCCCTTGTATAAGTGATGGGAGACTGGGAGCATAATTAATCCACCCACATTTGTGAAAGCAACATTTTAGATACATTCATGGATAAGTCTACCTCCCATTTAAATATTCATTTTTGTCTCTGAAACAGCTATACCAGTAGTAGAGTATTTAAGTAATTTTATTTCAAGTATTCACTAATTTATTGATTACAATATATTTTGCTGGCATATTTATTTATCTTTGGTAAAAATGAACAAATAAAACCACCAAACCATGCTGCTTTAACCACATCCGGTTTTTGGTTTAAAATTGAGGCTATAAAAACTAATAGAACCGACCAAAATCTATGGAACCCGACCAAAACAAATGGAAGCTGACCAAAACCTACTAAACAGCACTTGAGTTAACTAGCTCAATTTCCTGCTCGACAGTTTTCAAAGCCAAACTGGCCAAACTAAACCGACCAAACCAAACTGATAGACCATTACATATAATTCTAACTATATGGATCAGTTTCCACCGAATCATGAAAGGCCCAATTTTGTATTTATAATCTCACCGACCCCACAAACAAACACATATACCTTTTGGTATTATGTGCAACAACATCCAAGCCTTATTCCCAAAAGATTTTGGGGGGTGCATATATACAAAATATTTTTTCATCATTTGCAATGGAGCCAAAGACTCATTATTTTTTGGCCAGGGAATATGATGGAATAAAGCAAAATGGCTCACTAAACTGTCTGCGTTTCTTTGGTGTGAAGCAGCAGTCAATCCATGCAATTGTAAACGCAATTTTCAGTATGGGTCATTCGGAAATAGTCTCTTTGAGCTTTAGTACAGAGGTAAGACAGCGTACATCTGACCCCTTTACCCCACCGTAGGTGGGAGCCTTTGTGGCACTGGGGTAGTGATGATGATGTTGATGATGCATATATACAAAATATTAACGCAACTCTTTTAAGACTAAGGATTGGATGTTGTTGTTATATCAAATATTAATGCAGATTACAACAAAGTCCTTACTTGCAATCCTGTGGAAACTGGTACTCGAAGGTCTTTAGCACCTAACAACATGAGTGTTGGAGATTTAACCTGCAACAAATAACAGAAATATGTATCAACAAAGTATACAAAGATTCCACTATGAAATGTACGAATTCAATGTCACAGAAGAACGTAATGCGGGATTCGGTGGCAACAAAAAAAGTATACCCTAGAGACATGAGCAATGGGGGATTTGCTGAAAAGCACAGAGAGTTGTTCAGATGAAGGGGCCTCCATAAAGACCGATATACCCTCACGTCCAAATGCTTCCACATAGCACCAATCAGGGATATCAGTTGTGCCAACCATCAAAGCAAGGTTGCAGACTGGATTCCTTGCAGCAGCAGCTGCAAACTTATCTGGGGCCTACACACAAAAAGGCATTGATTCCAACGGCTATATATTTGTAAGCAGCGTGAATACCGGTCCTTTTAGAACCCCGGAAATACTACCAGAAGAAAGTTTGGGGGAAATGATAAATATAAGCTCGGACACAAATCACACAATACATATTTTTAAGATATTGTTTTTCATATTCATTGTTTATTTGTATGTGTATCATATAAACACTCAGAAATTTAAATATATGTGGACTAGAAGTTATAAAAATTAGTAATATGATCATATTAAGTTTCCTTTGGATTTCCCATACAAAACCAGACAAAAAGTTACTTATCTTGACATATCTTCCTTTTCCCTAGAATCTTCTGTGATCCAAACAGATCCTAATGGTCCATTGGGAACTAAGAAACCGACAGGGAAAGAAAATATGGACGAAAATTACAGGGGATGATTGGAATGAACGAAAATTTGTTTCAAACTTAAAATTTTAAATATTTCTATTAAATAAAGACTAACAAATCTTTGCAATGGAACCAAAGACACTATTTTTTGGTTTGGGAATATGATGGAATCAAGCAATATGGTTCACTAAACTATCTGTGCTTCTCTGTTATGAAGCAGCAGTCAGTCCATACAATTTCTGATGCGATTTTCACTATGGGTCATCTGGAAATAGTCTCTTTGTGCTTTAGTATAGGGGTAAGACTGCGTACATCGATCCCCCTTGCCCCCACCGTAGGTCGGAGCCTTTGTGGCACTGGGGTGATGATGATGATGATTTTTCCTTTTTTCCCTAACACTTTTCAGGTTAAAAAGGACCCTAAAAAAGTTTTTGATAGAATCTTTATACCTGGCCTATCAAGTGTGTTGTTAGAAACCCGCCATGGGAACCGCCAAGCACAGCTAGTTTGGATGGATCGGCAAGACCCAAGTGGATGACATGATCAATAGCAGAGATTACATCATTAACATCCTGGGGGCATGCAAAGGAATGGGGTGAGAGGGGATTAAGGTCACAAGGGTTAATGAATCAATTCATCATTAATATATGAACATAATGTTTTGAACATAATGAGACCTGAGACCCAACTTTCCCGGGGAGAGACTGCAGAGCTTCCTCTCCAAATCCCAAGGAGCCTCTGAACAATTACAAAAGAAATCATATTATATAAGACACTTCAATCAAGAAAAATCCAACTTAACCTACAGGTAAACTAAAGCACACGAAAGGGCAGATTTGCAGTACAACTCAATAAATATATCTATTTGTTTAACCAATAAATCTATGATAATATGTCCTGAGGCCTAACTAAAAACAAAATAAGTACTTCATCTGTCCCTAATAAAACTTCCATAGTACAAATGGCACGGGGATTAAGATAATGGGTATTGTGTGGTGGAGAGTTGTGCAGAGGAGAGAGAAGTGTGTAAAAATACTGTGAACCACAAATTCTTTACCAAAAAGGAAAAGTGGAAGTTTAATTGGGGTGGACGAAAAAGGAAATTTGGAAGTTTATTTAGGGATGGAGGGAGTATATTATTAGTATCACCAATTATCATCAACTTTATCATTACTATTGAAAAGGAAACAAAGTGGAGCACATAGAACTAATGAGACGATGATAAGTAGAAGACAACACTAAAGCATTCCGGCTCTCTCATTCCCAACTGTCTTTCTGACTTTTATGCTCTTCTGTTTCCATGGCTGTTGCAGGGGCAATATTGCGTAATTATGCTGACATTCCCCTGAGGAGTACTCCTAGTGAACCTAAATTTTTACTCAAGAAAGTACCCATGGAAGCAGATCAGATTTGGGCATGTGGGTGTGGTCCGCGAAGCTCAAAGATATGTCAATGAACTTTTATCCTGATGTCAGAGAGGATGAATCATGATGTTATCTGACTGGATCCGCAACACCATCTGGGCAAGTTCTCACACTCGGTTTCTTACAAGGAAGCTTTGAAAAAGATTCATGTATGCAGCTTTTCTCTTAGGCAACTTGCCCTTGTATGTCAGCCATGTTCTTATGGATTTGGGTGATGAGGAATATTATTGATAAGTTTTAAAAAAAAAAACATGGTTTGTTGAATGACTTGAATCGCCTATAGTACCATTACCAATCTAATTATCATTACCTAATTTCCCTGTGGTAAAGCAATTCTGTATTCTATTACTGATAGAATTGGTGCCCCCCTCCAGTTTGATAAACAAACATCAGATAAAATTTCATCCTATAGGTATAGAATTATTGGACAAGAATAATATCATAATGATTCTTGCTTCTAATGTGGATATCCAATATGCACCCATAAAGTAGCTAGGAAACAAGAGGAAGGAAATGGTATCATGATAAGTTGAATTACTCACTATTCACTAATAATATGCCAACTTCATCCAAAAAACTCCCATTAACATCTCTTCTTTACTACAGTTGAAATGACGGGTATAATTCATTGTCCAATCGATAACACTTTTTATAAAATAGCAGATTCATTTGGCTTATTCATTGCTTAATACTTTTGAAATAATAATTTGTAAAGGCTGCATTGATCTTTTCAAGGTAATAATAATAATAACTTTGTCTCAGACTGTCGATTATATCACTATTAATAGAGAAAAAGATTGTTTGCTTCATTTCCACGTAACTGGAAAATGTGCAATCTAACCTTAAACAAACAATTATGCATTGGTGGTTTAGTTATCATGGGCCCTCTAGGCAAAGAAAGCTTATCCCTGTGCAAGATAGTTTGGGCATCTATGGGATGATAGGAATAATGAATAATCTCATGCATAAAGGGTCTGCTGTCACGGTGAATGATGGCATTGCCAAGATTCAAAAGCTAGGGCACAAAGCTCTTACTTTAAAGAGTGGTAGCAGGTATAAACAGAAGCAGAAAGATATTGTGGTGAAGTGGCTTAAACCTGAAACTGCATGGGTAAGTGTAAAACTAAAACAGATGGTGCCCTTAAGAGTTGTGGGATTGCTGCTGGAGGGGCTTTGGTTAGAGTAAGGTGATGTTAACTTGGGCTACCTGTGTATCATTTCCTGATTAATGAATTTTTGTTTTCCCCTTAAAAAAGATATTAGTACTATCAATACTACCATGCAAATATAAATCTGATAAATTGAAAATCATTAATCATATTAATGTACTTATTGTTACTTTATGTATTATCAACATCAAGTAATGATAAATTGCTGAATTTTACTTAACTTTCTGCATAATCTGCTATCAAATTCGCTGTTCAAAACAGCTGAAATAAACCGCTACTGGTTACACTCTGTGTGGGACACAGGTTTTTTTATGAACCACAACAAGGTAAAACAATAATCTACATTGCTAAAACTTAACTAAGAAATAACTAATTGAGCATTAAAAACATCCGAAAGTCTCCCTATTAGGGACAACAATTAGAATGACTCTTGTATAATTTGGGTTGCATCAGTGTGGAGCCTTTAGTCAACAATTCTTCAAATTTCATAAGACAAATACTTTCAAATATTTTAATGGAATTAAATACCCTTTATTACGTATAAACAAATTCAAAAAATCATGAAAAAGAGTCAAATATGCTCCGTTAGTTTACAAAGCGATAACTTTTAAAAGATTTTTCAAAGGAAGTGTCTTTCCTGGATAATAAGTTACTACAAGTATAACACTCCCTCGGTCCCTTTGAAGAAATTCCTGCTTTGTTTTTTTAAATGTCCCTAAATAAAATCTCCTTTCCTCGTTTGCTAAACATATTCCTATCAAATATTAATTTAATCTACTACTCTTAAGTAATGATGATTGTACCGTGTCAAACAGTACTAAACAATGTCAAAATAGTAAAACTTACAGTACGCACAAAAGGGGCATTTCAGGAGCTCAAAGGAAAAAAATTATTTCTTTAAAACGTGTGCTATTCAAACACATAAAATGTGTCAACAAATTTCCCTAAATAGGAGTACAAACCATGCGAAATTCCACAACATGAATACTATGTTTTCCTCTAAATAGGAGTAACTACTCTCATGCGTGAAAAATACTACCAATTGTGGCAGTATACTGTCATATTAGTGTCTGCTAATGCCAAAATATGGTAGTATGATTTCAGGATGACGGTAAGTTACTCATATTTAGGGGGGAAACATAGAACTCCTGTTTTAGAATTTCACATTGTTGATACTCCTATTTTGGTAAATCTCCCTATAATATAACCTTTGACCCGCAAACATAGAAAAACTAAACATTTTCATGAAAAAGAACTTCCTGTTTGGAACGGTAAATCATTTTCCAAAAAAAAGTCTAAAAAATCAAGGAAAATATATTCATAAGAGAACATATTTTCCAGTGACATACACATGAAAATCAGGAAAAGAGATTCTTGAAAGTATGTCTTCCTGTAAACAAACAGAGCCTTCGACCTCAGTATTGAGTTGATGTTCTAGTTTTTCAAATAATTTAATAAGGCATCTACAGAATTTCATAAGTGAACATCAAACCTTCAAATGTATGTAATTACAGAAAGAAGGGAAGCTTGGAACATACCTATAATTTACGATCAGCAAGCTAAAACCAAGTGAACAAAGAAAAGCCAAAGGTTTTGAGAAGCTTGACAATGATACAGAGTGGGGACCTCCATGAAGCATTACGACCATTGGGTCATGCTCATTGTGCTCCTTACACTTTGATGACACAAATATTGCCTCATATGGGTTTGTAGCACCTAATATACATGACACTGGTCATAATTCTACAATCATATCATGACCACACAAGATTAAACATATCTAGAGAAAATATAGTCCTTTCAATACCTTTTGTAAGGCTACCAGAGACCTCACTGACTGGAATCTTCAAAATACTAAATTGTTTGGATGACAGCAATGACCTAACCTATGAGGTTTATATGAAAACAACGTGAGTTTAGGCATTAACTCCACACATAGAGAGAACAAAAATAAACTGTTGAAATTGGAGATATTAAGATCCTGTGGATGCCTAATACTACCACCTGCCAGAGAGTGAAAAAACGAGTGAAACCAGAAGTAGAATCATGTGACAGTGGGACAGTTTGCAATGGGGAAAACCCTCTACCATATGGGCCATATTTTTGTTTTGAAAGTTGAAGCTAAATATTTGAATGCCTTAGTTAAAGATCGGAAAGGCGAATAACAGCCACCACACGTTCTAGAAGGGAAAGCTAAGATAAGATATGCTGAAGAGAATAGTAGTAACAGTGGAAACGGAGTGAGTTTTTCTTTTTTCACAATATACGTGTAATTACAAACACACACACATATTCTCATAGACTATACCCGCATTATGTCCTGAACTTAGGGTTGGCCAGTTTCGATAAAGAATTTTGGAGGGCTAAGCCTGTATTATAATATATTTTTGCAAGTGTTTGAAAGTTGAAGGAATACAATGATAAATAAAGTAAACAACACTTTAATCACCACTTTGTTGTTTTCATAGACATTCTATCTGTGATGATAAAGAATAGGATTTTCCTCATAAGACGAGATATAGAGTGGAGATAATTGAAAAGGTGGGTCCCGTCCCTCCTATTATTTTAGTCTCTCTAATGAAGACAAATGAATGTCTTCCCAATTTCTTCTCTGTTTCTCTCATACTTCGTACTAAACAGCAAACAAAATCTACCCTATTCCCTACATTTCACTCTTCAACGTCTCTTCCCTAGCTATTACTCGCTTCTCTAATTTTTTCCAAAAACCAAACAAAGACTATGTAGAACAGCAATGTGATTGCTCCCATGGAGTATATCAAATTATCAACAGTTAAGGAATGTGCCAATCTCTAAGATATTATAACATATATGCTATAACCTCAACATAACATAAAAAGTCTATAAAACAGACCTTCTCAGAGCACACACTTGATTTTGGGCTTGCAATGTCCAGCCAACTCCAAGTGGCTTCTTTACATTCCTTTTCACCAACAAGACCATACTTGATTTCAGGAACATCAACAGGGCTGCTACAGACTTCAAAGACACGTTTGAAAAGGTAGATTTGTTATGTGGATAAGTACAATAGATAAACAAACATTTGAAAATTGAGTCTAACCAGCAATTATGTTATCTCCATCAAGTGCAAGGATGTTCCATGAAAAGTTTGATTTGCTAGGGCTTATTCGAGTCACCTTTCCACTGTCAGAACAAAGAACACCAGTAAGGGTCTGTTTGGATTTTGGAATCCGGAAAATGCTATAAAAGAAAATAAGAGGGGATTTTGGCAAAAATAATATTTAAACTTTACAAACCAATTTAAGATATTTATTCAAACTCTTTTTAATTATATATGTATATGACAAAAGGCTAAGAAATCTAAATCTATGTAAAACAAAATTGAGAAATAAATCTAAATTTGATGATTTTTTTTGTATTTTACAAGGCAAAAAACATTTCATTGGCAATTTGTTCCTTTCCCTTCATTTTCCAGTTCCCAAATATAGCGTAAGAAGAGGATATTGAAAATAATAATGATAATATAATAATCACATTGGTAAATTGTTACGAAGCAACGTAACATTCTCTTTATTAGAACGGTTACAATGGTTACAATGATTCCCAAACTTAACATAACATTTATGGAATGTGCCACCTGAGTATATCTCGGGGCACAAACAAACACACACAAAAATCATTTTCCTAGGTATTTTTTCCCTTTCGCATCATTTTCCTGGTTCCAAATTGAGCATAAGAAAAAGTGAACAAAATAACATTCATATTGGTGAGTGGTAACAATGTAACATAACATTCTCTAGAATAGTTACCTTAAGACATTTATGGAAAGTACCACCTGAGTGCTACCCCAGTAAGATGATAAAAGCAAAGTATAACCATCAGAAAGCCATGGCTTACTATGAATGCCAAAGCAATAGAGACCTGGGAAGACCCCATCTTTGGCAGACATTACAACAGGAACCTACATAAGATGGATGATATTTGCATCACATGTTGATAATTATAGAACTGCGTTAAACGTTACAGTTAAGCTCACCACGTCGACAACATTTGAACCTTGGCATGGCCTTCCTTCAGTTGGCCAATCAATTCTATGAAGAGAATTTGTTGCAGAATGTGCTCCAGAATCCACTGAACTTCTTGATGATAAAAAGACAAGAAACTTTCCATCTGGACTGAAATTAAAAATAAATAACAAATCATTTTTTATAATTTATTCTCCGTCTAAAAAACCTGTTCAAAAACTTATTATCCCACAAAATATAGTCATATTTCAACAATAGAAACTTATTTCCTTGAATTTAATGTAAAATTCCCAAGAAATTGCTCTAAACAAGCTAAATATGTTGAATGTAGTTGAATAGGCAAATAAATGTAAAAATGTATGTAGGCCTGGTAATTTGCAAGTGTGCCTTTTCAAGATTTAAGAGGTGTACCTTGATGAAAAATGGTGTCTTTGGAGGAAGGAAATAAATTTCAAAAATACACCATTAGGGCTAAACTCAGAAGGGTTCTTGTTGAATGGGACATGAGCTAGCCAATTTGGAGAATTAAATAGCTGTTGTGTTGATGGTCATAATGTGTGAGTGCACATACCTGAAACGGGGGAAGAATGCACTACTAATGCTTTCTGTAAGTTTAATCATAGTTTCATCTTCAGTTCCCTTATCACTGAAAAAATAGGTTAAAAACAAACCCAATTCAAACCAAATAAATATAGGACAAAAATTGAACTACAGAAAGTCGATAATTTGAAGTTAAAAATGTTCATCCCAGAAATACCATTTTTAATTTTAGGACTTGTAAATATGTGTTTTTATACCCATCCCTCTAATTTACTACGTTTCTTAGTTTCTCACCGTATACTTAAAAAATCATATGTGGCCCACATAATTCTTTGCTTCATTATTTGAATTTTGAAATGCAAAAAACTAACATGAAACATGCCCTGCAAAGTGACCTCATTTTAGTTTCAGATCCCTATGACATATTTAAGCCTTTCAGAAATTCCATAGAAATCCTGGGCCGGAGTATTGTGACTTGTGAGCCACAAATTCTTTTTAACCGAAGTTGATAGTGGGACTAAAAAAGCATTGTTAATTATACGATGGATAACACAAAATACAAGGATGAGCCATAATTTGATCATGAATTCACATTGGAGTACCCATTCAAGATTTCAAGTAGAAGTATATGTATACAACGACTTACCCAAACTGGTTAACTTCTGATTGGGAAGTTGGAGCTTTGACCGCATACAAAGCACACGGTCTATTATAGCAAAACTTGATTCCCAACTTTCTAGTGTTCGATGGCCATCCAACAAAAACCAAATATTGTTGCAAACCTTTTACTTTCGGAGCCCATACAACTTGCCCTACACTCAATGACTTCCCTATACTCTCAACAGGATACACCTCTTCACTGCAAAAATAAGAGAATAGATGTTCAAGCATTCAAGAGAAGAACTTTCACTTTAAAGGAAGCGTCTGGCAGGGATATAAAAGAATCACTTTGAGCTCTAAAATGACACTTTTGTGCTTATTCAAGAAAATGCAGTTTGGAGCATTTTCAAAAACACAATTGTAGTGCTTAATGAGAAAGCATTTCTTAATGAAAACACCCGTAGCATAAGGCATCACGAACAGACTATAGAGTATCTGGTTGTTCTTGAGGAAGCGCTTCCATGAGAAAATATGAGCACTTCCCTTAGAATCTAAGACTACATTAGGGATGACATGTTTTAGAGGAGCAACTGCTGCTTAAGGTTTAAAAAGTACTTTTTAAAAAAGAGTTTGAATGAGTCAAAGTAGGATATAAAAGTTCCATGGAAAATAATTATTTCTATTGTAACCAAATATGCTCTTACATCCTCGCTGCAGTAATTTAGTTAATGCAAAAAACATACCTGTTAATATTGATGACGAACAAAGCAGGTTGCCTTTTCCCAGCATAGGCCTCTCCCCAGTCTCCTTCCCATTGTCCTTTTCCTTTCCAGCTACCACAATCATTACCAGCCTCATTCTCTTTCTTATAACCAAAATTAGTGAACGTCGGCTTGCGTGGGGTAGGTTCTTCAGCAACATACGCTATTAGATTTTCATCATGGTTCCATGAAATCCCCTCAAACCTAACATCAGCAAACTCCACTAAACTCGTCGGTATAAAAAATGATTGTGGCACTGTTAACCATTCAATTATTATTGCCACCACTTTTAGTGTCTAAATTATTTTTAATGTTGTCATTTTCGTATATATTTTTATTTTTATAATAGGCCTTTTGGCATGAAGATTTCTAACAAGTAGATTGAGTAAATACCACCCATCTGAATACACGGATCCATGGATAGAATGAGGAACATGAATTTCCTTTTCCACATGAGAAGGTCCCCATATTTCAAAGTGAGTAGGTGAGTCATTTTCTGAATTACGAATGACAAGAAGCTTTGAACCAGAAGGAGATGGAACCATCACAGAGATACCAGTCACCTCAGTTGGGAATGGGGCCCACTGAAAATTTACAGAGCTATCGGCTCCTTTCGTGATATTATTTGATAATATGTATCTCCTCTTCTTGTTCTCCAAGAGATTTGGTTGGCTGATTAAGAACATGCTCTGGGAACCTTGCACCAAAAAATCCATTCAAACTTCAAGAATCAGATATGCACATTTTACCAATAAAGTAAATTTATGGCATGTTTGGATAACAGAAAATGCTAGGGGATGGGGAACCCTAAGGAAAGTCATTTTCTCATGTTTGGTTTTACCATGATACATGCAACAGAAAATGGAGCATGATTAATATTTTATACGGAGTATTTCTTTTTCTATACTTAAAATTTTTAGTCTTAATAAAATATCCTGTTGGCCCGGTAGAGAATATGTATTTGAAATGAGTTTGAGCAAATATTTCAGAAAAGATTATGAAATTTGAATCCATCCTTTGAATTTTGTTCAAATTTTCATTCCTTACCTTTTTTATTCTATAATTTCCTCCCAATTTTCTATACCTAGTATATTTTAGGTTCCAAAATCCAAAGAGACCCTTAAGTAAATGAAATGAGATATTCACACAGTTTAATGGATAATGGTGTGATTATCCTCACCAGTGGTAGATGTGAAAGTCCAAGCCTTGTCAATGGTAGGAATATCTATGAATTCTTTGAGCAACTTAGATTGAGATGAGTATTCTTCCTCATAAGACTCATCTACACCCAAAGGAGTTCCTCTTGGAGGGGTAGTTAAAGAATTTTCCATAGCTAAAGTAGCTGACCTATTCCTGCTAGGAAAAACAAACAAACCAATTGGAGAAAAAATATACTACGTATATTATAGTGACCTGAGGACAAACACATTGCTTGCAGACAATGAATAATGCAAGGACTTCAAAAAGTTGAAAACAATTGTGCAAAAAGCAGTAACAGAGACACTTAGGAACTGCAAACAAACATGCATTATGAATTCAGCATTGGCAGCTCAAAGCAGCAAAATAAACACGCATTATGCATTCAAATTCATAGAAATTAGGAACTGAAATGTAAAAGAAGAGACACTTACATATTAAACTTATTTCACACTGGAAAATGTGTCAGTCAGTCAGTGGAGTGTCTAATAACTTATAAAGGGAAAAAAACAGTCTTGTTCAAAGAACAAACTACCCAAAATACGTTATCAGGGTGTGAAAAGAATAAATTTTGAAGCAATTATTATTGTGCCCCATTTTGGTTCATCAATTATCCAGTTCTTGAATATGGGCAAAGTGGATGAAAGAAAACTAAGAGTGGACAATGCGCATAAACCAGGGCCGAAGGGGGCTGTGGGTTTACCTGGGCAGAGAAATGGACCTGACGAAAAATAGACGAAGAGGGGGGGAGCGATGAGAGAGCCGTGGGCGAAAGAGAAATGAGGAGAAGCAAATCCGTCTCTGCCGGTGAGGAGTGGCTGATGAGCTCAGGTGCAGTCCACAGTCATACATTTCGACTACATTGTCCAATGTTATCCTTTTTTATTTTCTCTCTTTATTTAAATATCCTTTTTTTTCTAAAAATTAGATACAAATCCTTATCTTTTAACTTTTGCATTATTTAAATAAAACTTTTAGTTGTATGTTGGACATAATGATTTTAAGAATTTTTTTCAAAATAAAATATCCCTTAATAAGTTATTGTGGATAGCATTTCACAGAAAAAATATGTTATACCAAAGAAGACTAAATCAAACGGTCAGTTTTTATCAAATAATTATAACTTTTTTCTTTGAATATCTTTTCAGTCACTAACAGCTATTCTGTAATATTTTTTAAGAAAAATCACAAATATATCTTTTAAATTAGTTGTGCCAAACATACTCTAAGCCTTTTTTGGAATTGGAATGTGGAACTATTCACCAAAACTATGATTCCATCTGGGATAGTACAACATAAAATTATGTTGGAATTTTATCAATTCAGACCTGAAAGATAGATTAATTATCAATCCGGGACTCAAAAGATGAAATGTGTCGGTATAGGACTCGAATGATGGAAAATTATCAATCTAGGACCTAACATTTCATAGGTTTTGATTTATTTAATTTTTTATTAATTCTGTTACTAATTTTTGATAAACTTTTCTTCACAATAGTTTATTAGTTTAAAAAAACTAAATAATATTTAAAACTTGTAAACTAAAAAAATTATGATAACTTAGGTCCTAGATTGATAGTGTTCAATCATTCAAGTCCTAAATTGATAGTTTTTCATCATTCGGGTCTTATATCGATGCATTTCATCTTTCAGGACCTGAATTGATAATTTGTTTATCTTTCGGGTCCTAGTTTGATAAAATTCCCATGTTTATATTGTGTCTGTCCATTTATAAAATGCATTTTTTTTAATTATCCATATATATGTATGTTTTGTCTCTTTGTGCTTTAGTACATGGGTAAGACTGCGTACATTCGACCCTCCCTTACCCCACCGTAGGTGGGAGCCTTTGCGGCACTGGGGTAAATGAAAATGAAAATGAAAAATCCATATGTATGTATGTTTTCCTATATACGTATTAAATTTTAACGAACTTTCATGTTCTCACTTTATCTTTTTATCTATTATATTCCATTTTTGTATCATCATACTTTTTTAATATTTAGATGTTAGAACTATTAAACAACAATTATATGGTTTATTTTTGAAACATGTCTCAAATCTAAAAATGAAATATTTAATTATTAAGGGATGGTCAAAAAAATTGAAAATGCATAATACATTGATCAGATCGTAAATGGTAGTGAATCACGTAACATACGTATTCTCAAACCGGGTGATCTTGTTTCATATCGAATCGGATACGATTCAATCTCAAATGGTACAAGATTAATTTATTTCTTTAATATACATGTTATTTTGAATCATACTGTTTAGTCATTAAATGGGCTTAACAAAAAATCACATAGTATAAAAAAAACATGCACACATGACACACATACTTAGTACTTATTTAGTACAACTAGTAAAACACCCGTGCGTTGCACGGTCGGAGAATGTATGCGTAATTTATTTTGCACACAGAAATATCTCCCTTTCAACAACACACCAAAATGTTAGTCCTAAAACAAACAACGTAATTGATTTGTGTTTCCAAGAACACAGACCATACACAAATCATGAAATTTAACACATTGAAACACAAAACAAAACCGCACACAAAAAATGCACAACCTAACTTAATGTTGAATAAAAACAGAATTCAACACAACACTAAACGTTACTGAACACTTCTTTATAAACGACATTTTTAGTGCTGTTGGACGCTGTACCACCCTCATTGCAAATAAGAATTTTCAAACCACGCCTATTGGTCACTCTTGACACCGCAACATATAGTTGTCCATGCGTAAACACGGGTTTCTTCAACAACAACCCCACACGGGACAACGATTGCCCTTGACTTTTATTTATAGTCATAGCATATGAAACCATAATTGGATAATGTCGTCTCTGAAATCTAAAAGGAAGATTCGCATCCGAGGGGGTCAAGGACAATCTAGGAATCAAAACATTTTGTCCAGCACTCACTCGTGTCAAAATTCTCCCCTCCAAAACATGATCACACAACTTATTTAGAATTAGGCGTGTTCCGTTACATAACCCCATTGAATGGTCTATATTCCTCAAAAGCATGATCGGGGTCCCAACCTTTAGCGTTAACTTGTGGTTCGGTACACCGGACAATTTAATGCTGTTAAGGAATTCCGGAGTGTGCAGCTCTGACATTAAATCTGTAATAGAGTCCACCTTCGACACGCTGTCAGAACTAAGATACGTCCTGGAAACCTCTCCAACATTGAGATCCAACATATAATCATTAACAGAATCAACCACAGCGAGGGTTGGCGCCAATATCTCACGATCTCGCAAACAACTAATGTCATGCGTAGACGCAACATACTCTAGGAAAATGCTTTCCACAATAGCAGCCACGGGGTCACCATTCGTGTGAATCAATAGATCCTCAGGTATATCAATCGAAACTGAACCATCATTTATTTCGCCCAAAACACTGTCACCAATACTGGCAATCCCCTCAGAAAATAGTTTCAAATCGTAAGACTCTGTTTCATTCGTCATATTTTGAAGGTGCATGTTTGTGGTTAAACGAAGAACGGTGCATTCGGACCACAAATATGACGAATTGATCATCACATTGACAACATCTTGTCTACTCCCATTAGGTATCACTGGAAGCACCTGGCGAAAGTCACCGCCGAAGACCACTGTTTCCCCCGTACGGCAGAGCCCCACTATTTGGTTTGTGAAATTGCATTATGTCCCTCATACTACGGTCTAAAGCCTCAAAACAAAATTTGTGCAACATTGGAGCTTCACCCCAAATAATGAGTTTGCACCGAACGATAAGTCTAGCGAGAGGACTATCCTGCTTGATATTACACGTAGAGTCTTCATTTAAACAAATTGGGATTGCAAATCTAGAATGTGCAGTGCGTCCACCAGGAAGAAGTAGGGATGTGATCCCACTCGATGCAACATTTAGGACAATCTCACCCTGCGACCTAATTGCAGCAGAAAGTGTCTTCCACACAAAAGTTTTCCCAGATCCACTGTATCCGTAAACAAAGAAAACACCACCATTTTCTTCTTGCACTGAGTGCATAATCGTTTCATAAACACGCAGTTGCTCGTCATTAAGAGAACTAAACAATGTTGTGTGCTCCTCAGCCATTAAGCTGCGATCATAGCTCAACTCTTCATATATCATCCTGTCATTAGAAGAAAGGAGAGAATCAAGCTTAACCGTTGGCATCGGAGGATAATCGCGCAAACTCTTTCCCCGACGCTGCAGCAATTTTTCCACTTCTTCTAATGCAGATTTTTCCAACTGATCATCAATAAGAATTAGTCCTGCAAGAGAGGAAACATATATTCAGCGATAATCTATTAAAATCAAAAAACGACAAAAAACAACAGAACATGTAAATGAAAGGATACAATTCACTATTAGTTGAGTGTAACCTGGATGCTGCAACAATAGCCTCAGGGTGTGTTGTATGTCATCCGCCATTAACCTCCAACAATGTTGCCAAACAAACTCCGGGCGAGACATCGACTCCGTCCACAACAAAACAACAAACAAAATCCTCATATAAAAGCTCGTTGAGAAAAAGCTAGCTTCCCTGAAAGCATCAATGAATTCCTTATCGTCATCCAACAATCCCAACGCATAACACGCCTCACGAAATGAAACATATGTCACACCATCCACCGTTCTCAAGTCTTCATGACACATCGCACCACGAATGTGATTTAATAGACATCTAATGTAATAAGACTCACCGCAACCGGGGTGGACATAATATATCCTGCCAATTGCGAAAGCTTTTTTCCTTGGAGTCCACTCCCTCATGTGTTTCTTCCAGACAAACTTTTGAGGAAACTCGGCATACGTCAAACAGCTCGCCTCGGGGTATTTTTTATTGGCCTCCATCCATGCAGTGAACATACTATCCTTAATCGATGTTGAATTGACCACCAAGTCAAGGGGTTGGTCATCACGAAAAATGATTGACTGTTCTTGGGGCAAATGAAAACTCAAACGCTCCACGGCAGGGTTTTTGTACTGAATCTCAAAACCAAACACCCTCCAAGAAGCCTCGCACGGGGAAATGTATCTACAATCATAATACATTTGAATCTCATCAACTGGCTTATGCTGCGTATCGCCATCAACAGTTTTGTAAAACGCAGCTATTACTCGATCACGACCCTTGTTGATGTACTTGAACAAATACTTGATCGACCTCGACTGGTTACACCATTCAACATTCATATGTGCACCATATTTCATCAACAAATATCGATTGTGCGGAACAACAAATCGATTGTCCAAATCCACATTGTTCTTCTTGATCACTCGCCCGCTACTACCACGTTTATACACGGGATAACCATCGTCGTCAACTGTTGTTTCGGCACACCATTTTTTGGGAAAGTGTTTGGTACACTTACCATCAACCATGCAGGGTGCAGACCTGACTGCTCCGCCACAAGGACCATGCATCATAAAATCTCTCACTGCTGCATAGTATAATGGATCAAGGTTGACATCCGGAATCTCAGCAGATATGACCCTATCAATATCCACGGGCGAAGGCAATTTGTCCTCCACAGATAACCACAGCAAGATATGGGCATGAGGCAACCCACGCTTTTGAAATTCAATAGTGTAAACGATTGCAAAAACAAAAGAGAATTTATTAAAATCTGGTAGAACTAAGAAAACAAAAACCGAAGTTCAGAGCACTACCTCCCCTAACACTACCAAATGACTTCTTCTTTCGCAAATCCTGTATCAAACCATCAAGCTTTATCTTGAACACACGACTCACTACATCCGCACAATCTTCTGGTTTTAAATTTCTCGAATGGAGAAAACGATCAATCTATGGCCATCTTGGGTTACAGGTAAAAGTAATAAACAAATCCGAATAACCCGTCCACCTGCATATAGCCATGGCATCCTGATAATTTTG